ATTAAAAGTTTGCTGAAAGACTCATTGCATCATCCAGATGCCTCACCGTTGGATTTTAGACAGATCCATTTTATGTTAAAACTACAGATCGAGCTTCCACATTTTGTAATTCCCACTCGGATCTATAGAGGGGTGCCACCAAAAGTGTTTGGCAAAACGAAAACGGCACAGCTCTTTTTCTTTTTTGCCCCGTTAATGTAGCACCGATTTCAGAAAAAAACGAGTTTTTAACGAGTTTTGTGAAAAACCCATATTGCTAGTGGCAACTTGCCCATAAGTTCCTGTCCTGCTGAAACTATCCTTAAGTTTAGTTTTGCAGCAGACAAAACATACTTTCTTGTAATACTTTTTTTTTTTTTTGTATTTTCCAACATCAATTCTTTGTTTTGGGTTAATAAGTTTCCCCAGACTTCACAGCGCTATCAGTCTTTACAGTGAGAATGGTGTTTTCTTTAAGGTGAATACAGTGATTTACAACACAAGTCTCGCCACATCTTGACAACGTTGGTCGCATTTGACTATGAAATCTTTTCACACATTGCAACTCGGTCAATATTATGCTTCTTGCCAGGCTGCAGTTAAAGTTTTTATGCGATTCTTTAGGAGTAATGAGATCTTTTGTGCCCCCCTCCCCAACAGGCCAGTGATACGCAGAGCTCTTGATATGGTTGACTGGTGCACCTTCACCGATCACTGGCATCTCTGTAGCGTCCCTCACAGGTCTCCTTGTTCATGTGCAGAGTCTTGAGGGACAGTCGTTTTGTGGCAATGTCTGGATGGTTTGATTTAGCCCTCATCTACTGATAATTGTGCCAACAGTGCCCACTGGGACATCCAGACACTTGGATAATGTGTTTTGCTCATTTCCTAATTCAAACATTTGTTTTACTTTAGCTAAAATTTCTCAGTAATGCTCTTTTGCCTTCATTTTCACAGCTGTCCTTCAGATCCACAGCCTATAATGATCACTTAACTGTGGGGTTTTATCCTGAAAATGTGGTGGTTATTTTAATGAGTCACAGGTAGAGGCCAATTGTAAGGCAATCATTTCCTGGTTGCAGCAATTGTTTCGCATCTGTGTAAACTTAGAACTTCTGTTTATTTCACATTATAAGAAATAAATCAAATTTGAGTTGAAGTTCTTACAAATTAAAATGGCATGATTTTATGGATTCAGAAAAGACAGTCCGTTTAGGGTCTTTTGCAAGACACTGGATATTTACAGTGATATGCTTTATGTAAAATTGTATAAGTAATATAAAAACTGGGCTGCAAAAAGGCATAATACATTCAGTTTGAAAGAAAAAAGCATACAAACTTTAAAACAAACCATGGCTGATGGATTGATATACAAAAATCTCAGTTTAATTGAAACAAATCGCTTGTTGTCATTACAGTATGTATTAAATGAAGGATGTGCTTTTGCCAGTAATGGAATTTGTCGAGTGGCGTAATTAAACTCTGGATTCTGCAGTACTGTTTATACTGGTACTGATTGCACAGTGGGGGTGCATTCAGGGGCCATTTGGCACATTTGAGTACTTGAGCTTTGCTTGAGCCGTTCAATAACCAGAGCGACGGGGGAGGGGGGTAAAAGGGAGCCCTTCATTCACTCCAGGGTACAGTTACTCGGACCTTATATTAGTGGAGAAACTGTCCTGCCTCTACCTGCTCTTCTGAGAAAGCCAGTGTACAGAATGTTTGATTGTCAATACTGCTTTTCAAAGGTCAAAAATGAACGTCCGGAGTACAAATACTGTTTATTTGTGACAAATAAAGTACATGTGTTTTCATTTAAAAAATTTCCATGTAAATGATAATCAAATAAAAATGTTAAAGTTGCAGTTGTGATGTTGTTTTGAATAGTTTGTTTGCTTCTTTATGGAGCTTTTTTAAGTTTCACACTAGCGAATGAAGTTCATATTTGTATGCAATTCTCATTCCAACCAGTTGAGGAGTGTCTTTTCGACATTCAGTCTTTCAGTAGTATCTAAAAATGCATGTTTTCCTACATAAAGTGAATGCTAATGAATAGCACACTATCAACTCATCTCCATTTTGATGATCTCCTCTCAGCTGACCCAAGATGTCAGACACACCTGTGGTGCCTCACACTTACAGTTGCAAATTAAACCTTATTTAAGCCTGTGTTTATATTCTGTCACCCCTCCCCACATACACACAAACAATCCCCCGGTGTTTTTAACAGACTTTATCTCGTTGATAAACTAATCTGACTGCGAGGGCGATATTTCAGTTTTTCGTGGATTCAGACCCTGTTGTGTCCCTCTGGTCTTTTCTTCTTTTCTCCCCCAAAGCAGTGAAGAGAGGCCGGTTATCAGGCAAGAGAGGCTGAGCGGGGCTGTTGGTTACTCTCTGAATGTTAATGGACGGGTGAGAATGGGCAAACAGGCCCATTGAAATGCGCAGGTTGAAATGTTTTCTTAGGGTAATAAAGTGGCTATACAGGGATCCCCCATTTTTAGGACCAACTGGTCTTCTTTGTTTAGGGTGGCACAGTTAGTCGGGCTAATTGTGTTCTACAGAAATTGTTACTAGTTTATTGACGTTTTTGTGATTCTGCGGGTGAAAACCATCTTCATAATATCTTCTAAATTAATTAAATGTATAGCCTATTTTTTTTAAATATTATGTAGAAATTATTTATTGATAATTATTTTAACAATATTAAATTTCAAATTTAGTAACATCATTACATAAATTAAATTAAAATCAATCCCTTTTTTCATTATTTTTGGGCATTAATTTATACACAAATTGAATAGGCTAAGTATTTAAGCACCTAAAGTTCTGGTTTATTTAGAATGTTAAATAGATGTTACTTTATTTGAATAATTTACTAACAAAATTAGTTGTAAAAGTTAAGACTATGACTATGCAAAATGTTTAATATCAAGAGCTTTGAGTGTAGCCTAATCAGTCAGGAACCGATGAACTGGTAGAGATTTGAAACAGATTTGTATAATCTTAACCGCACATCTTTTTCTGGGAAAGAGAGTGCTCACCTTTTGTTTTCTAGTAGCTATAACACCGGTCCACTCTCTCATATTCACAATCAACAGACGCCAGAACCTCTCCACAGGATCTCATTGGCCACTGGCTTTCCCAGCTTTGGTCACACAGCATGAATGGGGCAGGCTGAGGAATGCGGGGACACAATAGTTGGAATGTCAGTTTGCTAAGAGCTCCCCCCCTAACCCATGCATAAACACACACACACACACAGTCACAACAACACATGAAACATACACATGCTCCAGCACATCCAGACATGTCAAAGTGTGCCCTCTCTGCTGGTGCACTTCAAGGTTAAAGGGTTACTCCACTTTTTTTGGAAATAGGCTCATTTTACCACTCCCTCAGAGTTAAACAGTTGAGTTTTACCGTTTTCGAATCCATTCAGACGATTTTCTGATATTTAGAAGAATATCAGTTTCTGGTCTCATTGACTTCCATAGTATATTTTTTTCCTTTTTATCACAATAAAACAAAAATAAACATTAAACACAGGATGACTGACTCTTCCTCAAACACACAATAGCCCGACATCACATTTAAGGCACTACTGTCAAAATGGGACATTTACATTTATTTATTTAGCTGACGCTTTTATCCAAAGTGACTTACAATTGCTATATGTCAGAGGTCGCACGCCTCTGGAGTAACTAGGGGTTAAGTGTCTTGCTCAGGGACACATCGGCGTCTCACAGTGGATTCGAACCCAGGTATCTCACACCAAAGGCATGTGTCTTATCCACTGCACCATCACCACCCTTTATTGGCAAACTGGGACACTTAAAACACATTAAATTGTTATTCTCAATTCTCAAGTGTAGGGCCTAATAAAATAAATACACAATACATGTACAGAGTTGTTTTTTTTTTTTTTTTTTTTTTTTATAACCTTAACATTATTTATCTCAGAATGCTATGTCATTTTACTTACCATCACGGTTCTCTGCAAGGTTGTTAAATATGATGTGCCATACCCTGGAAGTGATGTCATAACCACAGATTTTTTTTTTTACATACTTGCTAATGATGAGTTCAGTGTTGATTTTTAGTACAAAAACATTATAGCCATGTAAAGATTATTAAGAAAAGAAATTATTAAGCTTAACTGCCCACGTACTATACCAATTGTTCCATTTTACCAGTATTCACCCTGTTGCAATGATATAGAACAATCTGAATCATATGACCATAAAGGAATAATGATGATCACAAATTACATTTTTGCCTAAAACAGATTATTTTATGCAATATAGTGCAAAATATATGTGGTTTAACATCCTTTCCAAAAAACTCAAGTCTCAGGAGTTTCACAACAACCACAAAACCGCTCTAATTATGGCCTGTGTCATTTTTGGAAAGACGGCGGCTGAACCTGAGGACTGTCATAATCTGAGTGAGATGTTTTGGTTGCTCATTATGGGATGAGATTCCACCAAGTTTCTCTCTCTCTATGTTTCTTTCAGACTCTCTCTCCCATTCTTTCTGGCTGTTGTTGAGCTGCTAGCCACACCACATCTATCTATCTATCTATCTATCTATCTATCTATCTATCTATCTATCTATCTATCTATCTATCTATCTATCTATCTATCTATCTGTCTATCTGTCTATCTGTCTGTCTGTCTGTCTGCAACTATCTATCTATCTATCTATCTATCTATCTATCTATCTATCTATCTATCTATCTATCTATCTATCTATCTATCTATCTATCTATCTATCTATCTATCTATCTATCTATCTGTCTATCTGTCTGTCTGTCTGTCTGTCTATATGGCCCATATGCTTACACATCAAATAAGTGGCAAAAACTCCTGTAAAATGTCAACAATACATCTACTCAGTACAGGAATGATTTGAACAATATGCACATAAGTACTGGCAGACTGTAAGTCAACGTAACCTGCGCGCGCCATGCTCCACCCCGTGTGTTTCGCGTGGCCAGCTCTCTTTGTCCGGAACTCAGCTTCGTGCTCGCGCAGTCCTCCTGATTCTGCTGAGATCTCGCCGCGCGCACTAGCAACTCCTCGATTCCCACTCTGCTTCCAGACTGCACACCAGCGCGAGAGGGGGAAAACTTTCCTAAAACTTTTTATCTCAATTTTCTTGCTTCTTCTTCGACAGAGCAAACTGACTTGCAAATCGTTTTCAATAGAAGAAACTGGTAAAGAAGTACCTTACCTCTACTGCATTGAACATGTGTGCGCGTGCATAGCGCTGGACATTGAACAGATATTCTTTTGTTTTTCTTAAAAAACAAACACCAAAAAAAGTCGCAACGAAGAGCGCAAACTCCTGACTACTTTTCGTTTTGTTGTTACTTTTATTCGTTACACACTGCGGGATTGTTTCGCTCGTTGTACTTTTTAGACGCCAGGTTTTTATTGCTCAAGAAAATCAGTTCGCGAGATCCGAGCGGCTGAAAGAAGTTCAACAGGGACGCCGCATCCCCATGAGGAAATCAGAAGCGCGAATCAAAAAGTTTTCGTGACTGAACTTTTTCTTTTGTTTTTTTTATTACTTTTTGGTGTTGCGGCTACATAGCTCAAGCAGTCAGCGATGAAGATGTTAGTTGTTTTTACTGTATGTATGTCGGTTGTGGTTTTGGCGTCGGCTCAGGCTGAGCAAAAGTTAAAGAACTGCAATGAAGTCAGAACTGCCTACAGTTCGAAAGGTTTCAACGTCAACGATGTTCCCAACAAAGGAGTGCATGGTGAGTTACACTGATTTTATTGACCTAAAATAGATTGTTACAGTTGTTTCAAGAAACATTTGATTATAAAGGCTTTAGGTAGCTACCAAACGCAGTAAGTTGTGTAAATAAACAATCGGACAAACACAAATAGAGTGAAGGACATAACAGTTCGACGATGTAGCTGCAAATGACTGTTTTATATTTTCTAAGAAAGTGTAAGTTATACAAAACGGTTTTCCAATGTCCACATTGATTTTCTGTAGTTTTTTAGAACTCTCATTCTCTAATAGGCCTATTGTTGTTCACTCATCGTATCGGCCTTAAATTTCATCAGGTCATTATGGTGACTAACATAGTACATGACGTACAGTAGGCTATAGGTTAGTTCACTAAAATAAATTAATTAATACTGTCTACTCGTCCTCATTTTGTTCCATACCTTATTTTATTTCTACTGTGTAACATGAATGATGTTAAGCAGAATGACAGCACCAGTCACTTGCATTATGAAAAAGGGGTGCAATCAAAGTGAATGGTGGGACTGCCATTCTACCTAACATAATATTTTGTTCCTCATAAGTAATAAGCCAAACGGTTTTGAAAAAATAAAAACACGATTATTTTTTTTTTCAAAAACTATCTCAAGCCCGATTTTTTATTTATTTATTTATTTAGGGTGAACTGTCCCTTTAAGTCGCTTTCTCCAGCTCGCACGTAACGTTACCGCACTTCGGAATGTAAGTAGGCAGTTACTGCATCTTTTAAACGGGATGCAGCTCGTGATTACATTTCAATAGTTACAAGTGTTCTGTCGTTCCTCCCCTCTGCACCCCCAGCTGCTGTCTTTGTTTCAAAGTGGTGTACTTTGTCATTGTAAGCGAGAGTCAGTCATCGGACAGTGATTGTCATTTAGACGCGCTAATGCTCATGTAAATGCACTGATTTTATCTGGAGCGGGAATTGGGGCAAGGGGGTGTAACAAGTTGCAGTTTTAGCTCCTCTTCAAGGTTTGACTGAGTGGAAGAAACTAGCCTCGGGACACCGTTTGGCTTTACTGATTTGTTCCCATTAAATAAAAGAGAAAGTTTTCCAGACTTGGAGGCCTGTCCGAATGCTTCAGGAGACCTCTATAGCCTATAGGCCACTCTCCATTTAGGACATTGAATCTAATCATAAATCAATGCCCCCAGACATGAATGAAATCCACTATAATACACTCATCGGAAATCTGAAACTGTTGTGACACTGCAATTATGCATTATAAGGTTTTAAGTAATATCACAAGAGCAAGAGTGCTTTTGTTTGTCATGCTGATTGGGAGTACGATATTCCCTACAAGATTTAACAACTTCTTACAGTATACAAGACAAGTAGTTATTAACTTAAGTCAAAAAAAGAAAACTTAGTTTTTATATTTCTTCTCAGACAGTAAAAATAGGCTTAAAGAAGCCAAAGAGTGCTTTGAGTATCAAGCAATTCGGGCTTTGATCCATGTGTGGACAAGGTGACAGCTTTTTCCTCACTAGGGGTGTAAATTGGACATTTCATCACAGTGATTCTATTAGCAAGCGATACAATCTTTGCAAATTCCTCAAAACCTGCCACAGTACCATTATAGTTTGCCAATTCTATGGTATTATGTGCCTGTTTAACTGTTTTTAAAGTTGTTATGAATTTACAAATGCAGCCAAAATATGATATAAAAGTAGGGATGCACGATATGTCGGCCAGCATATCGGTATCGGCCGATATATGCTAATTTTTAATGTTATTGGCCTGAAAATCAAATGTGGCCAATATATTAAAGCCGATAAATAATGTATTATTCTCTTCAGCTGCGACACTTTTTGAGCACTGTTTGTGTTTTTGAATTTCTTGAAATATGATTGAAATCTCTTCAAAAAATGAAAATACGGTTCGGTACAACATGTGCCGCGCAAATCTGTCATATCGGCTATGCAACACCATAATGAGAACATCATTATAATCGTGCGCTTGGGTCATGGATTTAATTGTGAGACTTTTGTTTTTGTAATCAGGCTCTCAAAATTAGATAAAAATTTGGATTTAAATTTATCGGCCGATACATCGGTTATCAGCTTTCAAATATAAAGTACTATCGGTTATCGGTATTGGCCAAAATTTTCATATCGGTGCATCCCTATATAAAAGTTTACTTGAACTTTTATGGCAATTTCAAATCCCAATTTTCTCAACGAAAAATAGTACACTTAACAGAGAGAGAAAAACCTTAAAATTCACATTGCATTGCATTGTTGCATATTGTTAGTCATTTAATTGATGCACTGCTAAAAGCATTTTAAAATCAATTAAATTTAAAGACCCGAATGAGCTTTTGTGTAATGTGTATTATCTAATGTAATCTTATAATCTCGGTTTTTACCGATTAAACCAAGTGCATGCATGACTGCAGCTAAGTGAAGGGGAACAATTGAACCTCAATTTTCCCTGTACTTTACACCAGCCTAACAGGTCCATTGTCTACCCTGGGATGTCATTGTAATGCAAACTTTGAGTGTTCCCCAACATGTCTGCATTTGTCATGTTTTTTATTGTGTCAAATCACCAGTTTTGTTGCGATTGCTGTAAAGAATGAACTATAATGGCTCATTTAGAGGGTAGGTTTGGGTGCCATGCATGTGTGCCTCTCACAATAGTGCACAAAATGCGTCGGGACCCTGTGCAAGACTGACCTCAGTTAGCATGCCTTTGTCAATAAGAGAGTGAGATAATTGATACAGAGAAAGTGACATGGTCTGCTGTCGCTGAGGGGTGGAGGTTTTTAGAAAGAAAAAAAAGGAAGCACAAAAAGCCCTGCTTTGGCTTAACAATGTCTCCTGTTGCTAGGGAGAAAATGGTCCACAGGAGAACCTAATTGAACTGGCAGTGGCCCCCTGGTTCTGGCTTTCAGAGCTGGCCCTCTTCACCTTTTAGTCAAAACAGGTCTTCTTTATTCTTCTGTAGTCCTGAAACACAATTCCATCTTCATGGTTTGAGCCAGTCGTAGCACTAATCAGGCAAATGGTCAAAATTACACTCCATGCTTGACGATTATTCTGCGTTCCAGCGATTCATTAGTAAGGGTATTATTATTCATAAACGGACTAGTTTTTCATGTCACTAGTCAAGAAAGATTGGTCGTTTCATTGAAGACCACTGTTCTTTGGAATGTCGTTTTGCTTTAGCTGGAGTTGTAAATCTGAAGTTGAGAATGTTATGGCTTTTGCAGGCACTATGTGCAACATTTCCTGGACCTGCTTTTGATTCGCTCTGAAAGGCTGAGAAATTATAACTTTCTAGCTACTTATGCAAAATGCCTTTAACCATAAAAAAGGAAATAATTTAGTTTCCTCTTGCTATTTCTAACAAATCGTGATAATGTCACGAATTTCCTTCCTTTAATCCTATTTGTGTCTTTAAATGTTAGTCAGAAGTTCATTAGAATCTTAAAACTCTATATCAACACTACCAACTCAAATAAGATGTACCCAGGTGAAGGTTATGGTGTGAAATTGGTGGTTTTTTTATGTTTCTATGCTTGATAAGCATGGTTTTTGCAAGGAGATTTTGAGAGCGGGGAGCTTTTTGTTAAGCAGAGGTGAGCTCTATCTTCATGGTCAGAGCCTCTCTTGATCCTCTCAGTGGATTATTGTATTTTAGGAAGCTTCATAGTTCTTTAAGATCTGAAGTACATAGATTCCTGCTGAGGACTAAACCGCCCGTGTCCTCCAATCCTCTGCAAAACCGAAAGCACTGCCTGGCCTTTTAATAAAAAGCCTCACTGCTTGTGATGGTTTGATTGGCCTAGATGTCGTAAAACACGCGTGTCAAGTGCCTCCCGCCCAGTGGCAGGCGGCCCATCTGCAAAAGGTTCACAGGAGCGGTGGTTACTGACCAGATTGTGATCTCGCCTTGTCAACAGCTCCTCATAGAGATCCAGCAGAATGCTTTTCCCTGCTCAGGAGAAATCTGCTTTGCTTTATAGTTGGCAGTTTACTCTTATGTCATGCCTCAGGTATGGACAATGGCAAAGATCAGACAGGTTTCCTCCCCTTTCTCCTGAAAGATTCATCCTTCTCTTAATTACTTATGAGACTCTGAGAGGCGATGACTTCACTGGCCTCCTGATATTGTACAGATCACATCTGAATTGGATGGACACACTATATATTTGACCTGTAGCTGCTTGGATGCATCAAGAAACACATTTATTTTTGTAAGAAATTCTACCCTTTTTTCTTTCCCTCGTGTGTTCGATTAAATACTTGAGCAAATTTGATAATGTTTTCAGCTCCTTGGGATGCTCTGATCGATTGAATGCACAGCGGTATTGGCAAATAATCACAATCTATCATTTGATCAGTAGTCGCTTAATAAATCTCACGAACCAATCGCAATTTGATGCAGTAAAATTGTGAATTGCCACTGTGTCAGATCAGAGCTCCCCACCACACACACACACACACACACACACTGCTCCAGCTAATCGGAGGAAAATCCCGCAAGTGCGATAATTAAAGAACAAATTACATTAATTGTCACTGTTGGCAGCCAGCCTTGTGTTTACTATTAAATAAAAACACTTCAATATTTTGTGAATTTATTAGTTTTAAAGTGATTGTGCAGATTAACAACCTGTTAATTCTACTCAAGGTAGATGACAAGTAACATGGCCATGCATTTTCTGTTAAAAAATTTTGTACACTACCATTCAAAAAAATCAGGTTAGTATGTTTTTTCCCCATTTTTTGGCTCATGCACACCAAAACACTATTTGATAAAAAAAAATCAGCAAAACAGTAATATTGTGAATTTTTACTATATACTACTATTTTGTATATGCAAAACATAATTTATTCATGTGATGCAAAGCTGAAATTTCAGCATCAATACTGAAAATTCACATGATAATTCAGAAATCCGTCTAATATACTGATTAACTGCCCTAGAGTCCAGAATATTATTATTGTCAATGTTGACAACAGTTGGGCTGGTTA